TGCCCACTCCTTAGGGACGTTATAGAAAGTCAATGGGCTTCTCTAGAGAAGCATCCCAGACAGCGGCAAGCATCCAGCAGGCGCTCGGTAGCTGGGAGCTACAAACACCATCGTCCCTCCTAGGCTCAGACCTTGTTCTCGTGCCCACACGCGGCGGGGGCGCAGGGATGCATGAGTTACCCTCACGAAAGCCCACACCCTAGGGGACGGTCTCTTTCCCTCATTTAATGAAATACACAATATTTTTAGGGGAAAAAAGTCTCAACATAACGTGTGTAGAGACGGTAGAAGCGGGTGGAGGGAGGGAAACCCAGCCGACTGCCATCAGTGGCTCCTCTGCACGGCAAAAGGAACCCTCCTGGCCCGGCCTGGCTTGGGGGAGAGTGTGGGGCCTGTTAGATCTGGAACAACAGCTCTGCAGTTTCTGCTTCTTGGAATTTCTGGACACCCAGAGAGATTTTCAGTCCCTCAACTCTTGGGATTCTCAGAGCTGGGCTGTCCAATACAGTAGCCACCGGCCAGGTGGCCGCCGAGCACCTGAACTGGGCTCGTTCAAATCGAGACGTGCCGTAACTGTAAAATACACACCAGATCTCCGAGCTTTCATCCCCCTGCGTAAATTTCCTATTAGCGATTTTTCTCTCGATTACATATTGAAATAATATTACGGACATACTGGGTTAAGCAAAATATATTCTAAAACCTCCCTCCTGGTGCTTTTATCTTGGCGACTGGGGACTTGAGAACCCTGCAAACGGCTCTCAGCGTGCGTCTGTTGGACGTGCTGCGTTAGACGCCAGCCCTGTGGGGACAGGATGTTTATCTCTGCTGTTCCCTGCTGCGTCCCCAAGCACAGAGGAGCTGCCATAAATACTAGGTGAACGAATCTGCCGTTCATCTGAAAGTCCACCCACATGTACCCCTGTACGTAGGTGGTATCTTAAAAAATCGAGTGCCCAAGAACGCCAGCTGACGCTGTTGGTGTGTTTCCCAATCTCCCCGCAAAATCTGTGCTAACAAATGGTCCTGGTCTACGGGGAAACCCTCAGCTGACATCCAGATGTCCAGCTTTTCCCCGAGAACATTCAGACAACCCCCCACTCCAGCATCGAACGCCCTTCCTGACACCTGTTCTTTCCTTCGCTGTCCTGGTGGGCGGGGCAGAGAGGGGAGGCCTGTCCTCCTACGCCATCGCTGCTGCGTGGCCTCCTTGCGAAACCCCCAGGAAATCCTCTTGTTGCCAAACCAAAGCCACTTTGAAGCAGAGCCAACTCCTGGCCCGTGTGCTCAGAACTCTGTTCAGGGTTTGGTTGGTCACGTGTTTGACCGAGGATTCCCTAAATTTAAAATGGAGTTTGCCATGAGCTGGTCACAGTGTGTCCAGCACCTGTGTCTCCCTTGGGACCGTCTGTGACCCCTCGAGGGTCCCAGTTTGCTCAGGGAAGAGCCACCCTCGGCTCTGGGCTCTGGGAAAATCTCTGGGCCCTGTGCTTTGCACATGGAGGGCAGCTGAAGTCCCATCTCAACCAGGGGAGTACAGGACGTGGCCACGCCCGAGGGGTCTCTACGCCCTTCTCTGTGGGGGCCATGTCACCAAGGAGGGCCCTCTGGACAGTAAGATTGCTCTGTTGGCTGCTCCGGCCCCCTGCACTGTCCTTCCTTGGACCCCTTCGAGTGTCCCCACCCTAGACGGCAGAGCTCCGGCTGTTTCCCTACGTGCATGACGCCCGTGTTCCTGGCCGTCGGAGTACTGGATGGGAGGGGTGAGGATGACGAGTTCCTGTGGGACGCGGTGTCCCTGGTCCTGAGAGAGTCATAGGGGTTGTTTCTTATGCTCGGGCCCCGTGACCCTAAGTGACAAGAACCACAGCGTCTGGAGGTCTGAAACAGTCACAGCGACAAGTGCCACCGGATTTTATTGCAGGCTCACCGTGAGCCGCTGGCTAACTCCTCCAAGTAAATCTCACGGCAACCCTTTCCGCGGAGGCTTGGCGAGGCTGCCTGCCCGAGGCGACCCGGCTGGGGAACACGGGAGCAGTGTCCCAAATGCCATGAGGTGCCACGTGCCCTCTCGGCCCGGCCTGCGGGGCTACAAGTTCCTTGGACGTGGTCCTCTCTGGCCCCTGGGTCCCAGCACGGGCCCCGGCACACCGTAGGTGCCCGATGAGTATTTACCAAATGTCAGAATCACGTGTGGTGCCGACTCTGTGTGCCGGGTACGGGGTCACCTTCACGTCATTCCTACCACGGCAGCCGCCACCCGCGGGCGCGCGTCAGGGTCCCGGGAGGGCGTGTTCAGACGCAGATGGCGGCCGCTCCCCGAGTGTCTGCCTCAGCGGGTCCGGGGGGGCCTGAGGATGTGCTTTTCTAACTGCCTGGTTGATTTGGACGCTGCTGGTCTGGGGACCCCACCTGGAGACCCACTGCCCCCCTTTACAGATGGGGAAACTGAGGCACAGAAAAGTTGATTAATTTGAGCAAGCGTCATCACAGATTCCAGCCCACAGGACTCAGGAGGAGGGTCGGAGAAGGCCAGGAGGCAAAGTCTTGACTCTGGGAAGCTGCGGAAAGTCACCAAAATCTTTCTACGGTGCAGAAGGGGCCGGGGACTTTTGTGCCTGGGAAGGCGGCCTGGAAGACGCTTCTGAGGATGGTAGCAATGTGGGTGGGTCTCCCAGGAAGAGAAAACCAATGACAGCCCCTCTGCCCCCCAAGATAGTGGGAGAGAAGCCACCTCGGGGACCTTCTTTGGTCCCCTGCCCTCCCCAGGCACCCACCTGGGGGACCCCACAACGCGGGCCCTTGTTCCCAGCCCCCGGGAGCTGCCCCGATGTCCCCGGATCATCCGGCAGAGGGAACGAAACCCAGCCCACCGCGCTCCTCAGGAAGAGCGTTTTCTCTTGAAGGGGCACCAAGGGCTCAGAGAATCGGCGTCCTGGGATTTCTCTCGGCCTGGCCAGGAAATTCCACCTCATCAGCCGCCTCCCTCCCTGCCATTAAATCCATGGAATTTCCCTTCGTTAAGCTTTGCCCAAACAAAGGTCGCGGACGCTGGAGGAGGATCGCAGAAGCCGTTCACTCTGGCTATGCGGCTGCGGCCGGCACTCACCGCGAAGGCCCGGGAAGAAATGAGCGCAGGCTGGGCGTCATTGACGCTGCGGTGTCCTCATGCACAGCACGAGCTTGTCACGAAAAAGCGCCTGGGCGGGTGGGAGGTGGGAGCAGGTGCCGTGCCCCCGGAAGCTACAAGAGCTTAAGCTTTGAGGGGCCTAGGGTATGTCATATTCTTGATTTTATATTCCTTTTCTTTCTTTCTTTTTTTTATCTGAGACAAGGTCTCGCTCTATCACCCGAGGTAGAGTGCAGTGGCGTCATCATAGCTCACAGCAACCTCCAACTCCTGGCCTCAAGCGATCCTCCTGCCTCAGCCTCCCAGAGTGCCAGAATTACAGGCATGAACTACCGTTCCCGGCCTTATATTCCTTTTCTAAAAAGGACCCCTCAGATATAAAACTTTCAGCATTGCCCTGTTATGGGCTGAACTATGTCCTCTCAAAATTCCCATGGTGAAGTCCTAATCCCCAGTCTGTCAGGATGTGGCTGTATTTGGAGACAGGGCCTCTACGGAGGTGATTAAGATAAAACGAGCGTGGGCCCTGATGCAATCTGACTGGCGTCCCGATAAGAACAGGAGATTAGGACGCAGACATTGCACAGAAGCAAGACAAGGAGACAGCAGAGAGGCCGCCGTCTGCGAGCTGAGGACAGAGGCCTCGGGAGAAACCACCACCCCCCCCCCGACACCGTGGTTTCGGACTTCCGGCCTCCAGGACTGAGAGAAAGTAAATTTCTGTCGTTTAAGCCACCTAGTCTGTGGTACTTTGTCGCGGCAGCCGGAGTTTACTAACCATGCCCATTTTACAGATGCATGAACTGAGTCTCGGGAGGGGCCGGTGCCTTCCTTGAGGCACGAAGCTCTCAAACCAGACCCCAGGACTGGGGCCCGGGTCTCTGGACTCCAAGCCCAGGACTTGCCCCTGTGGACAGTAACGACGGTGTCAGGGTGAGTGCTGTGTGCCAAAAAACAGACTGGCAGCCCGAACCAGGGCCCGGCCCTTTCCAAAGAACACTCTGGAAAGGCATACTTTAGAAGTCTGCACAGGCTTCGACCTAGAAATCTCACTTCTAGGGATTTGCGGAAGCGGTCTCAGGGTGTGCAGATGTCCCCCAGAAAGATGTTCTTCACAGTGAGGATGGAAAAGGACTTAGGCCTGCAAGTCTGCAGGGAGGCACATACGCTCAGTTGACGCAGTTCTGAGCAGTCCCTGCCGAGGACATGTGGGTGCAGGTTTTGGAAGCATCTACGATCTCTCGCGTGACAACACAGAGTAATCGGCATAACCCCCACATACCAAGTGCTTACTGCTGCCAAGCCCTGGAGAGGCACCGTGTCACTCAACCTTCCCAACAACCCTATGCAGCAGGAATTATGATTCCCATTTCACAGATGAGAAAAACTGAGGCACAAAGAAACGGGGTGGCTCGCTCAAGGTCACAAAGCCGGTATGAAGCAGCGCTTAGGCCTGTTGGACTCGACTCCTTGCTCTTACCTAACTCTATGTAACTATGTCATTATGTGGCTTTATAGAACTACCGTGTCACTGCAGTTTGGTCCCCTGCGTTCTGCGGGAGGAAAAGTGCACACCACACACACAGGACGAGGACCAGTGGGCACACACCAGCAATCTCACAGTGGTTCTCCCAGGTGACAGGTTGTGGCTCATTGTCCTTGGGCTTATCTGACGATTCCACATTCTCTACAAAAGCATGCATTGGTAGTAGGGGAAAAAAGGTTCTTATTTTGAAAAACGAAGAAGAGAAAAGAGCCCAGGCTGGGCCTGGGTGTCTCGGTAGGAGTCGGCGCGAGTCTGCCCAAGTGTGATTTACAGGGCGAGGGTGGTGCACTCTTGCCAGGCACCGACAGGCCAGTGCCGCCCTACCTTTCGGACTGCACGCCGTTCCGCAGCGAGCCCACGTACGTCTTCTTCTTATCCACAGGCATCACGTCCACGTAGCCCCCGCTCTCGTCCCCGATGACGCCGGCGTGCAGGGCGGTCTTACAGATGCTTGAAGTCTGCAAGCACAGGAAGGGCTGGGGTCGGCGCTGGGGATTCCAGCTCCCGGTCCCAGCCGGCCGGGGCTCACCGTTATGGGGCTACCTGGTTGGTGGTGTGCTGACCACATCGACCCTCAGGAAATAACCATCGCGACCTCGATTCCTCAGTGGTCTCTCCAGAGACCTGGCATCATCCGTTTACTCATTTGCGCAACAATATTTCCTGAACACCTACTATGTGCCGGACACTGTACTAGGCACTCGGGGCATTCATCAAGGAACAAAATAAAGATAATGCCTTCGCAGACACGTAAGCAACTACACAGACAAGGCAGCTTCAGCTATGAGGAAAATAAAACCAGGCCATGAGGTCAAATGACTGGGTAGAGGGGGCTGTTTTAGAACAGTTCATCAGGGAAGACGGAATGACAAAAAGGAACCAGTCACAGCCATGGGAAGGGCACCCAGGTGGCTGGAATGGCTCGTGCAAAGGCCCTGGGGTAGGAGTGAACTTATCATGTCCAAGGAACAGAAAGAAGGGTGGGGGCTAGAATACAACGAGGCAGGTAGAGTGGGGAAGGGGGTGATCAGGGCCAGTCATACCGTGTGGACCACCGGGCGGTCTCTGCTATTTTAGGTGCCAAGGGAGCCACTGAGTTCCAACCAGGGGCAGGCCATGCTGTTTTCTAAAGTCATCAGTAGTTCAATTTCTGGGTAATGAAACCCTCAAGTTAAACTTTCATTAGGATCTTAACTTGCCAACAGAAAAATGGGCCTCAGGATGGGTTGTCTGAGAGCAGTTAATCAACATTTCTTGAAGCTGAGGACACTCGTGCGGGGGCAGGGTGGCGGCTGGTGCTCGCTAAGGATGCAGATTCCTGGGCGACGCCTTGACCTTCTGCTCCACAGTCTGCCCCTGGGCCACGCCTTGACCTTCTGCTCCACAGTCTGCCTGCAGCGACCGGGGATTCTGAATTGCGCCCGAGGTTAGGAGCTGCCGAGACACCTCCCTCTGCTTCACCTGTGACCTTCCCACCGGCCTGTGCCAAGATCCGACGCTGGCTGTGGCCGTGGTCTCCACCTCTGCTGCGCCTCGGGACCCCCTGCGGGATCCTGCCACGAGGACGATGCCGGTGCCCCCAGCCCCTCCCACCGGGCTGTACGGCCGGAGCTGAGCGGATCCGTCCGTGGACTTGAGCAGGGCTGACGCGGGTGCTGAGTGCATGAAACGCCAGGCCCTGTGCCGAACGCCTTTTGCATATTATCTCATTTAATCTTCAAGCAAAGTGGTGACTACCCTCATTCCATCCTACATGGCCTCAGTGAGATTTGACAGCTTTGCCAAGGCCGCTTGGGCAGTTAACGATTTAGTAGACGCCAACTGAATTCTCTGCTTCTGTGGTCGGCAGAATAAGGGTCCCCAAAGCTGTCCGAATCCTAATCCCCAGAACTGTGACTATGGGACCTTACCCAGCAAGAGCGGTTTTGCAGATGTAATTAAATTAAGGACCCTGACGTAGAAAATTATCCTGGTGGGCCCGATGTCACCACAGGGGTCCCTGTAAGAGGGGGAGGCAGGAGGGTCACAGTCAGAAGCATGAGGAAGACCAGCAGCCCCTGTTGGGTTTGAAGGTGGGGGAAGGGGCCGTGAGCCAGGGGAGGCAGGTGGCCGGACGCCAGCAAACGGAAGAAAACACAATCTCTGCAGCCTGCAGGAGGAGCTGGCCCTGCTGACACCTTGATTTTAGCCTGGAGGGACCCGTGTTGGACTTCTGGACTCCTGAGCTGTAAGGTAATAAATTTGTGCTGTTCTGAGCTACCGAGTGCGTGGTGACTTGCTACAGCAGTGACAGGAACCTAACAGCTTCTAACCACCGTTAATGAAAAAGCCCCCAGCCGTGGGTGGGTCTGATTTATTAAGTCCCTTATGTTTGATGACTCCGAATTACACAGGAAGTAGACTCCCTGCGAGAACGGCATCCCTGATGTTCTGACAACACGCTGCCCCGGCCGCTGGTCTCAGGGGCTCAGTCTAATCTCAGCTGATTGGGCAAGGGATGAAAAACTAGATCCGCCGTCCACAGGGCGGGAAGATGGACTCTAGTCCCGCCTTCGTGCACAACCCAGTGACCTGTGTCCCTGGCCGTGGCCACCCCAGGGGGCTCAGCCCACAGGCGCCGCATGGGAAGGGAACGTCCCAGCCCCTGGCTCCCCGAGCAGGCGCCTCGCCCGGAAGAGCGCGAGACAGAAAGGAGAGACGACTCCCACCTGACTCCACCTGTGCGAGGTCAGACTCATAGAAGACAGAAAGCGCAAGGGGGTGGCCGGGGCTGGGGCCGGGGCAGGGGAAGCTGCTGTCCCGTGGGTACAGAGTTTCGTGTTTGCAAGACGGGAAGGTTCTGGAGCTCTAATTCACCACAGTGCGGATACACTTAACACCACCATGCTAGACACTGAGAAACGATTAAGATAGTAAGTTCCGCCGTGTATTTTACAGAGAGAGAGGGCTTGAGAGAGGAGCCATACCCGAGCCCCGGGAGCACGTTTTGCAGAAGTCATCAGTGCGCCCTCGGGAGAGGTCAGCCCGGCCACCCGAGCACAGCCTCCGAGTGCCTTTGTGCCCCGTCCTGACCACTGTCCTCGGCCCATCTGGGGTCCCTGAAGCATTTCTAAGGCCAAAGGGAGCGGGTGTCCCGGGATCCACAGCGAGAGGACAGTTTGTCTGGAAGACGCACCCGAACAACCTGCCATACGGGACGAGCCACCCCCGGGCAGGCTCCAGGCGCGAGCGGACAACTGCGGTGGCCTCTCTGAAAACACCTATTCGACTGCCAACTGGAGCAGGCACCCGCGACCTCGCAGAACCCGCAGGCTGTTCAGAAACGGCAGCGTTCCCGCTTGAGGGATCCGGGCTTCAGGCTGTGAGCTGTCACCCCGTCCTTCAGCAACCAAGTCCCTCCTGGGGGACGTCGCTGCATTTGCATGAGAAGAAAAACCGCCCTGCCTTTTCCCGGGAAGTTAACACGGCTGAGAAAAAGGTGGCACCAACACACACATTCATAGCAAAGACTTGAAAATGGGACTTCTTGTTTTCCCTGCTTTACTGAGCAGCTGAAGGCTGGTTTTTTTTTTTTTTTAACTCTGCACTGACACATTTCGTTGCCTTCAATAAATAGACTAAACGGATGACAGCAGAGTTACTTAGCCCACGGTGGGGCTCTGGGAGGCCCGAGGGCGCCGGCGGAGCTCTGCGAGCCTGTGGGGCAGGTTTTAGCACGAGCCCAGGGAAACCCTCCGTCCCAGGCAAACCAGGACGGTTGGTCACCTGACCTGCACGAGGAAGCATTTTTTTCCTCCGGGAAGAAGGATCCGGAACTTCCCAATTCTCATAGAGCTTTGTGCCCCCAAAAGATTAAGGAGCAGGAAGTTTGCATCCATCTCAACGAGAAGCAGGGAGACTGTTGACGTGAAGCGATCATTCTAGAATCCCCCTAACGCCATCCGCGGGGGCGTTACGTGAGTGAGCCCAACGGCGCTCACTGCTCTGATTGGCAGGCGGAACTGGCGTCTCTGCGGGCGCGGCCCACTCTGCCGCCTGCCGTACCAGAAGGGAGGCCCCGGGGCAGCTGTTCCCAGATGGCACCAGGAGGGACACGTCCCTGAGGTGTCGCAGACACACCCTGGCCAGGGAGGAGCATCCTCTCGACTGAGAGCTGCCAAGAGGCTTTGGTTGCAGCCTCGGTGACAGTGCTTTGCTTCCTGTCCCCGGAGGGTTTCTGGACCAGTGACAGGTTTTCCGTGATAACAGCAAGCGGCAGGCTGTGAGGATGAAAGGCTCACGCCCGCGGCCGGATCCTCCGCGCCACAGGCCTGGTTACCGCCCACTGTCCTCACACACGTCTCCAACCACCGATGCCAGTGAATCTGTCCCTTCCTCTTTGTCCCTTCCTTCCTGCCACGGCCCTCCCCTCCCCAGACTCCTGTGAAAGGTACGAAGTGTCCTCTCTTTCCTCAGGGCTGATGCAACACCAATTCCTGAATGTTTATTCACCAATATCGGCACAGAGCCTGGCAGCCTGTGCCGCCTCCGGTGCTTGTCGGCTGTGTCACCTGGCGTGACCTGGCTTAACCCCCAGAGCCCCTTTCCTCAGTAAGAGTGCGGGTCATCACAGGGACCATCTTTGATCGCTTACCAAGGGAGCCGGGTCGTGAGCGTTTCGTGTGCGTCAACAGAGTGATCCTGGTAGCCTCTGAGCTAGCTGTTATCACGATCCTCCCAGGGGACGGGCAGACTGAGGGTCCGGGAGGCTGAAGGTCCTGCCCGAAGCCCCTCGGCGTGGACGGCAGGGCCCGGACTGCCACCCAGAGCAGTCTGCGCCCCGTCCTACGTGGGTAGCAACCATGGAAGTGAAAGAGCTGCTGGGAAGCTTAAGTAGGATCAAGAGCGTAACGCGGGCTGGTGCTCAGTAGGTGTCGACAACACAAAGTCCACCGCCACGATCGTCACTGTCACCACCACCATCACTGAAAATGCTCGAGGGGCTGTCATCACTAACCCAGCGGTCCTCCCCATGTGATCCCAGACCAGCAGTGTCAGCGTCACCTGGGAGTCTGTTAGAAATGCAGAGCCTCTGGCTCCACGCCAGACTCTGACGCAGACGCTTAGGGGTAGGGCCTAGGCCTGGGGGGGTTCCGCGCACGCACAGCGTGAGAACTCATCCAGGCACCGAGCAAGACAGGGAGGACGGATGAGAAGACTGAGGTTCGGGGTGGGGGAGGCTCGCCCAACACCCCACAGCTGGTACGTGTCACAGCCGGGGCTTTGTTCTCGGGGCCACACCCCGATGCTTCTCTCGCCTGCAGCTCACCACAAAGCGGGGGGTCTGCCAAGAAATGCACTCCTGGTGAACAGGCAGGAACTGTGGGCACGACGAGGCCCTTCAAAGGTCTGGAGACAGCTCTCCCAAAATAAATCTCTTAGCTAAACAGACATTTTCCAAAAGGCATCATCATTTCCCAGAATACAGAGTGACCTAGAAACCAGGGCCAGAAAATAACCTCTGAGCGGAGGTGGCTCTCTTCCCTCCCTCCGCCCTCCCTTGTTCCTTATTTCTCCCTTCCTTCCTTCCTTCTTTTTGTCTTTCTTTTTTGGAAGAGCCGTTTAATCATTGACTACTGTAGTATCTTCATTTATTTATTCCTTCGACAAACACCGAATAAGTAGTTATTGTACGCCAAGCCCTGTCATGAGCACTGTGGTTCCAAAAGCTCCGCGCCCCAGTGAACACGCTAATGAAAGGCTGCACACGGGTTTTTGCCCACGTGCCTGCTCAGGTTGGCGTAATTATCGGTGCAGGTAACTTCTAACAAGGCAGGATAGAGTAGGGACAGAAAAGTCTAAAGCCAGGCACGCCTTCATGCGCATCTCGCCTGTGCCATTTGCTAGCTGCGTGGTTTGGGGCAGGTTATCCTGAGCTTTGTTTTCCACCTGTGTAAGATGGGGATAAAGGTACCTAGAGATGGTGTTTTTAAAGAGCCTGAAACATCATAGGTATTAGATTAAAGGTAGCTTTCTATTATTACTAAATATGCATCAAGTTCTTTCATTTCTAATATATATATATTTTTTGCTTTATAGGTTTAGCTGCTATGTTGTTTGGTGCATACAGATTTGATTTTCATACCTTCTTCATAAATTGTACCTTTTGTGCCATTACATAATGACTTGCGTTGTCCCGTTCAGTACGTTTCGCCTTAAGTTACACTTTATCAGATGGTAATAGAGTTCCTCCTGCTTTGTTTGTAGATAGCTGGACTAGCTTTGCCCATCCCTTCATTTTTAAATCATTTTACAATCTAAATCTCTTTTAATAGCTGCATCTGGTTCAAGCAGTCAGTGTATAATTGATATATCTAATTTTACTCCGTCATAAAAATTCCAACTGGGCTCAATTTTAGCCGAATAGCTCGCAAGAAGAAAAAGGATGGGGGAAAAAGCTTAGTCATGAGGGCTGCTTTGACTCTGCAGTGCTCGGTGACCTCACATTTACAGGAATGTGGAAGAGGCGAAGGCAGACGGTAGGGCGGGTGGGGAGGAACATAAAATGAAGATGAAAAGAAGTAAAATGTCAGCTGGAGACGAGTGATGCTGATCTAATCAGAGGACTTTGGAAGATCTAGAAGATTCCCTCAACTAGATAATCCCAGCTCTCGGCCATTCTACAGAGAGGAAAACGGCTTGGCAAGACCCCACAGCCTACTGGCAACAGAGCTGGAACCACGTTCGTAAAACCTGGACAACCAGAAGGAACAGACCATGTTCTGGAAGAGTCACCTAAGAAAAACTGGCCTAAAGCTGCCTCGCCGAAGCTAGAAGGGGAAAAAGGAAGAAGAGGTTCCAGTATAATAAGAGTGGTCATTAACAAGCAGTAAATCAGGGACAGCTTGTGTGTTCTTCTGTGTGCGTTTATCTCAGTGTGTGCACAGCCAAAAAGAAATGCAGCTAGGAGGATGGACCGGCCACTATGAATGCACTGGGAGAGCCGGGAAGATCGTTAACTCTCCGGGAGAAGGAAGTACGGGAGGCGGGACAGCCCTCACATGGGCACACCTGCACCCGCATTCGCAGGCGGGGAGGGGGGAGCGCTCACGCCTCTATAAATGCGGAAACCAGGGCAACGGTGGCAGAGATGAGCGGTCTGGATTTAGCTGGAGGCACTGGAATAAAATCTCAAGTGTCCAGACCTTGGAACTTGGTTTTTGAATCTTAACCGGCCGGGAGAGGCCGTCATCAGAAACGCCGCGTACTCACATCTGCATAGATGTTGGTTCCAAACACGGGCGCCCAGTAGGAAGGCTCGTCTTTACAGCGCGCCGGACACCGGACTCTGGAAAACAAGAGGCATTTCTGTCACGGGTGGGATCAGCGGAAAACAAAGCTTCTTGCACTAGGTCCCTTTATGTGAGTTTCAGGACTGAAGTTCTCGGTTGAAAGGAAACTACCATATAGTTTTACTCTCTGAGAAAATCAACACCTCTCCCACCCTAGCCGCGGTCAAGATGTTTTTGCTCCTCTGAAACAGTGCCTGTAGAACAAAATACAACATGCGCAAAAAAGACAGGCACAGACAAAGAGGTGAAAAGGAATAAAAATCTAAGCGAGATGAGTGCGGAATTGTGAGCCGGTGCCTACCGTTCTTGGGCGTTGGCCGGTTTATGCCATGAGCACATTATGGAGATTAGAATCAATGGGGTTTTTTTAAAGGCCGCTTCCCTGTGTGGGGGAGGAAAGGGTGGAGGCCCTCACCTCAGTGAGTCACAGAATATTCCAAGGAGGGGCACTGATAACCCTGGAGGGAAGGGTTAGATCACCCTGTGTCAGTCATGAGGGCCCAAGGGATGAGAAGGGAGCCTCGAACTGGAATCGGGTGGGCCTTAGGTGGTTTGAGAGATTCAAACCAGGAAAGAGCGTGAGCTTTTCTCAAGAAAAGGTCTTTGGTGTTTTCTGGAACAGTCCACCGCGGGCTGGAGCCCAAGGACCAAGAAACCAAAATGGCGGCTGGAAGCCATTGGGGACTCTTGGCGGGGGCAAGGCCATGGATAGAGAAGTTGAAACAGTTTTTGGGGGTGGACAGAAAGGGTGTGTATGTGCAGATATAAAAACCAAAAAGATCTCAGCTAGCCCAAGGGGTGGTTAATAGGAAAGAAAAAAGAAAGAATTAGGAAGTCTAAAAATGTTCTTTCCGACTTCTCCTGGAACAGCAGGTCAGAAACTCACGTTTTAGATACTGCACTCTGTCCAGTTTTCTTTTTGTTTGTATTTTCTGTAATTGTTTCCTTCTGCTTCTCTTTAATGTTCGGGGAACTCTACTCAAAGGCTGTTATCCCCGCTGGAACATTCGAGGGGGACGGAGGCAGCAGAGAGAAGCCCCAGGGGAGACCGGCACAGGGAAAGGACTCGGCCCTCCGGACTCCTCTCCCCAGGCGGGGACCCGCCAGGGCTTTTTCCTGCTTAGCTCTGGGGTCTCCACCTGTTGTCCTCGGAGAATCTGTTCGTCTCCAGGCCCAGGAAAGGGCTCAGGGACAGTATATCACCACCCCAAGGCGCTGTTTTTATCCTCAGAGAGTTTCTACCCAGGGTACCGGCAATTCTCGCCATATTTCTAATTTTACGACAGAGCTAGTGGGAAAGCTTGCTCTGTTTGAAGGGCAGCTTTGCTTTACGACTCTGTTTGAAGGGCAGCTTTGCTTTACGACTCTGTTTGAAGGGCAGCTTTGCTTTACGACTCTGTTTGAAGGGCTGCTTTGCTTTACGATGTACCTTCTGAACGTCTACACACGTGGGTAGGTCCCAGAGACTTGGGCCTGTTGAACTTAAGGAGTCTCCTCTGCCGAGGGGGATGTTTTCTGCGTCCCCTCCCCACGAGGCTCTCCTAGGCGCTTCCGAGAGGAATGTTACCTTTAATTTAGGCTACGAGGCATCATCTTCCAAGACTCAGTTAATTGAGGGTTGGGCAGATGCCTGTAGAACCTGTTCCTTGGGCAAACCAACCGTGGTATGTCCACAGAACGGACACGGCACGGGGACATGAGAGAATAAACCGCTGACCCACTCGACAGCACGGATGCGTCTCCACAGCATGACGCGGAGAGAAAGAAGCCAGACAAAAGTCCACACACGGCGGTGGCGGCTCTGTAATTTTGCTGACGAAGCAAAACTATAGCAACAGGAAGCAGCCCCAGGGCGGCAGGGGTGTGGGGGGCTGACCGCCGAGGCACTCTCTGGGGTGAGGGCGACTCCTACGTCTTGATGAGGGGGTGGTGGCGGCTCGACTGTAACGTTTGCCCACATACATCGAGTTGTATTCTTACAAAGCTTGGAGTTGATCGCGTATGTCAATGAAGCTGATTTTTAAAAGCTACTTCTAACGTGATCCACAGAAGGTATTACAGATCAAGCCCAAGAAACGATACGCTGATGTAAAGGGGACAAATGACCCCTCAGCTTCCAGAGAAGAGCTGATCTAAGAGACACGAATGACCAGTCTCCAGGCTGACCCAGGCGGGCTGGGAAGAGCTCAGAGGCCGATAAGTCGCTGATACCAGTACACTCTCTGGCGGGAAAAAACAACGCCAGGTGCGGAAAAATCCCTTTCTCAGTCACGCCGCTAGAGCAGGGTTCTGGGACCGCGCCGCACACTGGAGTCACCGGCGAGGCCTTCCGTGGTCTGGGCAAGGCCCTGGGAATTTTTTTAATGCCTTTGTCCAGAGATTCCAACACACAGCCTGGATTGAGGGCCAGTGTCTAAGGGTCTAGCAGTCCCTGACTTTGAGCACAAAGTGATTGATTTCTGGGTGCACCCTGGCATGGTCCCCCCTTCTCTCAGCCCCAGTGTAGGAAAAACCAGATGCCAGTGACATCTTGTGAGAAGGTGATGCCCCTGCCCCTGAGAGACCCCTGAGCCCACCCAGACATTTGGCAGCTGTTTCCTGCCCCCTCCTCAAGCCTCACCTTGGGCAGTGGGCCGCCGGCTTTTCAAATGGGCAGAGCTGGGCGACAGTGGTGTAGCAGTCCAAGTCCTGCACTGTGAACGGGAACACAGAGGGAAAGGGTCAGGGCCCCGGCAAGCCTGGACCTCAGGCTACGTGTCTGTAAAATGGGTCTATGCAGCTATCCAACAAAGGGCATTGGGTTGGTACCTCAAGGGACTTCTATGCAATGAGATGATAGGGAAATCACTAAAATCAGGTTTAGAAGAACATTTAAAGGCACAGAAGATACATTCCTGACACATAATTATTTAAGAAAAAAATTGTATGTGATTCCATTTCAAATGTTAAAAGCTACCAATATATATATATAACCAGTGTATATATTTTCAATACATAGAGAAAATAAACTGGAATATCCACAAAAATGTTCACAGTATTTATCTCTGACTAGTAGAATTTAGGTCATTTTTTAAAACTTGTTCCTCCTTATTTTTAAATTATACAGAATAAACAAGCATCCTATTCGTAATGAAAAAAATCACTACTCTACATTTTTATAAAGGTATCTAAGGAGATATTCTTGCATCCAGGGCAAATGACAAGAGTTGCCCTCCCAGAGGAAAGGATGGTCATTGGCAACGCTCCAGGGGAGGACGCTGGACGATGCTCCCGTGTCCCAGCCTGCCCAACATTACTCAGTCAAGGGCCCGGTTTGGGCAACTGTAACCCATCCGTCCACTTCTGGTAGGAGGATGCCCTCCCATCCACGCCTCCCGCCCTGCCAAAGGAACACACCCTAAGCAATGTGAGAAGCTGGGCCACAGAGGGCAAAGATGCACCTCGCACTTCCCAAACTCTCCCTCCCCTGTCCACAGCAGACATTACTAATCTATCGAGTTCCAGGGAGCCACTACCAATCGATAGAAACTGGTGCTCCTGGTGAAAACTCAGCCACCCTACTCCCAGCTGTCAGTATTTCTGGGGCATTCCGCTGGCAAGCTCAGGCCTGTGCTTCTGGTTCAGCAATCTAGGGCCAGTTTCAAGTCCAGAGATGTTTAGAAACTAGTTAAAGAAACGACATCCTCAGGAACCTCTCGAAAAAGCTTTGCAACACTGAGAACACCGATGTTAACAGGGGTGATTAACATGAAAACAACGACTAAGGGAAGTGAAATTTCGAGGGAAATAGAAGGTAAGCTGGGTATTATGGTCATATAAGAGGCTGCCAGCTTACCTTTCACTTTTGATACCGTGAATGAGCCGGAAGGTTTGTATTTGCTGTAAAAGAAAACATTAGGTAAGTGCAGACAGAATTGCTTCTGAAAGTGCACACTTGCCTGGTACTTGTCTTATCTATGGCCTCAACTTCACACTTTCCCACTTGTTTCCCATCAGCCTGAAAGCTCTCAGAATATTCTAGAGCAAGCCTTCTTAAGTTTTTTTGTACTATGGACTCCTCTGGCAGCCTGGTGAAGCCTACGGGCCCCTTCTCAGAGTAATGGTTTTAAAAACGCCTAAGATGAATGTAAAACATTACAAAGGAAAGCGGTTATTAATATCATTATCAAAGCGTTAAGCACATTTGCATTAGAGTTAAAGCTGTGCTTTTTTATTAATGCACTGAGTAGCAGGATTTAGAGGCGGATCTTCTAACCGCCATCATTTCAGGAGAGAGGAAGCAGAGACGGGGTTTCAAGATGTTTGCAGCAACTGGAGAAAGTCGCTGGCCCCGGTAACGCTAGCCTGGTTTGTGGCCAACATTCATAATGGAAGGAAATACTACATTTCAATTAGAGATTAGTGAGAATAAAATCGTAAATTGCTTTACATTGATGTTCGCAGACCCCTGAATTCCAAAACGTGCAGAAGCCCAGCTGCGGGTGCCAAGTTGGCCGTCGGAAGGGACCCGGGGCGCCTCCAGGACGAGCATCCCAGGGTCAGAGCCTGCGCCGAGCTCCCAGTGGCCTGCGCAGGGCCTCCCTGTGGCCAGCCGGTGTTGAAGTTACCCAACCGATAGCTCTGGGAACGGACTTCCTTGCTCTTTGCTCTGTCTACCTAACCCCTCATCCCAAGTCCCTTGCTAAGACAGAAGAGGGATATCGCAACATCACCTGAAGAGCAAGATGTTTCAAAGGGCAATTACTTTTCTTCTTTTTGAAAATTTCCAAGTAGCCTCACAGTTGGGACGGGACATGCTACCTTGTAACCATCGCGGGAGGTTTTGTTCGAAGCTTTCCTTGTCACAGACCCCGGGGTGGGCATTTGACACGGGGCAGTCCCTGAATAGCCCCTGCAAGGGCATGTCCCAGGGGCGATGGTCAAAGCACCAGAGACGCGCATGGCGGGGGCTACAGTGGGGGCACGAGGTCCTCGGCCCGCTCTGCCGCGCCAGGCACGAGGTCCCGGATGGGAACGGGGGCCCCGAGTGTTTGGAGGGCTCAGGGTGACAGCTCTTTCCTAACCTCTGTGGGAACGTTTCTGTGTTTTAACAACCGGCTCCTACTGTGAGCCTCACTACAGATGAGGACACCGCCACCCAGTAGGTGTGAAGAGACTGGCTTGGAATCACACAGGTGGAAAGAGGAGGACCTGGGTCTGTGCGACCCTGTATCCCCCCACTGGGTTCCACAGGCTCTGGGTCCCCTTACTCCTCCGGTTGCACAGACAGATCAGGTGGGAGCACGCCGGACACGCCTCCCCCACTGCGACCCAGGAAGTCACATGATTAGGAGGACCCACCCACCATCTGTCCACCCTCGGTGACAAATGTTATCTTGGAGGAAAAGTAAGTACAGTAAAAAACTAAAAAAACCTCACTCTCTAGGGAGGAGAAAAAGCGCTAATCAAGAACTAGCCTTGGCCGGGCGCGGTGGCTCACGCCTGTAATCCCAGCACTCTGGGAGGCCGAGGCGGGAGGATTGTTTGAGCTCAGGAGTTCGAGACCAGCCTGAGCAAGAGCGAGACCCCGTCTCTACTAAAAATAGAAAGAAATTAATCGGACAACTAAAAATATATAGAAAAAATTAGCCGGGCATGGTGGCGCATGCCTGTAGTCCCAGCTACTCGGGAGGCCGAGGCAGAAGGATCGCTTGAGCCCAGGAGTTGGAGGTTGCTGTGAGCTAGGCTGACACCACAGCACTCACTCTAGCCCGGGTAACACAGTGAGACTCTGTCTCAAAAAAAAAAAGAACTAGCCTAGACTAGGTGCGATGGGCTCATGCCTATAATCCCAGCACTCTGAGAGGCTGAGGCAGGAGGATCGCTTGTGGTCAGGAGTTCAAGACCAGCCTGAGCAAGAGTGAGACCCTGTTTCTGCTAAAAATAGAAAAATTAGCCAGCTGTGGCAGCGCTTGCCTGTAGTGCCAGCTACTTGGGAGGCTGAGGCAGGAGGATCGCTTGAGCCCAGGAGTTGGAGGTTGCTGTGAGCTAGGCTGATGCCACTGCACTCCAGCCTGGACAACAGAGTGAGACAGCCTCAAAAAAAAGAAAAAAAAAAGAACGAGCCTACACATTCACAGACACCGTCAGCCTGAAGCGTTCTCGGTGACTCAGACGGTAGAAAAAGGAGGATTCAAACTCACCCGGGTTAAACACACACCCAGGAAGATCCCACTGGAACGAAATATGCCACGTTTCCTATCGGGGTGATTTCTGAGTCACGGGATCCAGGTTGTGTTTATTTTTTCTGCTTTTTTATATCGTTCAATACTTTTCAAAGTTACAACTGCACTTTCGTAAGCCAGGAGAAGCGCTGTAAGGAACCCCGATTGCGGGATAGTCACCTCAAAGACTCCACGCCGTTCCTCTCGGATTTCACGAAGAATGGGACCTTCCCGTTCCTGGTGACGTCCACCAGGCCCCCTTGGTCATCGAGGACCCCATGGTGAATGGCGGCCCGGCATATGCTGGAGGACTGTGGAGGGGAGGGGAGACCACACGCGTCTTCTGAGTCAGTCTTTGTCAGAAACACCCACGCTCTGTCCTCGACCCGTCACAAGCCATAAAGACGGCCAGGACTTCCCCAGCTTCCGACGTTCGCCTCTCTCTATAACGACATCTTTGTTCCTGGGGTCGCTTATCTACAAAACCCATCCGAGTTGCTTTACGAACGAAGAACAGTGACAAATGGCCCTTTGTCCCCACCCAGTGGAGCATGCGAACGCCCAGCCTGACAGGGGACCGGCCTCCGGGGATCAGCCCAGTTCCCAGAAGCGGCGCCGCGCGTTTCTGAGCCCAGAAATACACGGGGGTCAGCTCCGGAAGAGCCGGGCTTGGCTAAGGAATGGGAAGACAATCTGTCCCGCGAAACCACCGACCCTCTTTCAAAACACACGGCAGGGCCGCTCCCGGGAACACCGGCCATACTCACGCTCTCGTAAAACAGAGTCCCGAAAATCTTCGCCTTGTTGCTCAGGCAGCCCGCCGGGCACTGATACCTGCCGGGGGAGAAACGAAATGACGTCCTGAGACCGACAGGTCGATTACATGGCACAGGGATTTTATCATTTTGCTCTTCCATAGCTCTGCTGTTAAACACAGACGAGCGACCGTTAACATAGATTCCATTGGCTCGAGTCACAGCTTACCCAGGCCCAGACTGAAGTTCGTATTCACCAAACACGACATAATCGCCCCCTGACATCCGCAGGGCATTGGTTCCAGACCCACCCAGATACCAAAACCTGTGGCTGCCCAGGTTCCTTGTATAAATGTCGCAGTATTTGCAAATAACCTGGGCACATTCTCCCTTATACTGGAAATCATCTCTGCACTTCTTATAATGCCTAATCTAACGTAAAAACTATGTCAATAGTTGTTAGACTGTATTGTTTTTAGATTCGTATTTTTTAAATTCCCATAATACAACTGTGTTGTTTTTTTAAAAAACATTTTTGATCTGTGGGTGGTTGAATCCGCAGATGCGGAGGGCCCGATGTAGTCTAAAACGCTATTTTCAGGTGCCCAAGACTGGTGTTACAGGCGTACGAATCCACAGACAATTCACAGGAGCAAGACAGACGGCTCCCAATGCACCCAAACAGACGCTCAACCCCCGTCCATCAAAGCAGTACAAACTGAGAGGAGATGCCGTTCGTTTTCCAGGTATCAAACTGCCAGGGTTCTACCAGGGTAAAACTCGATGGTGCTGTTAGAGTGTAACTCATCCCGACCTTTACGGAAGCCTTAAACATTCAAACCATTGACTCTTCAATTTCCCGTGTACGTGTGCGTCCCAAGAAAAACAAGTCAGAAAGTCAGATCTAAGAGCATATTCCAACTGCTCGTAATTGTGGAAAACTGGAAATGAGTCAACAGGCGTGAAAGCGATGGCCAAACATGTCCTGGTGCAGCCGTGTGGCAGGGCATGACACAGCTGCTAACCGTGACGTGAGTGGGGAATGATTCATTGACACTGGGAAGTATTAAGTGAAACTGTGGAAGCAGCATTAGCCTCAACCACGCGCAGAAAAATGACTGGAAGGAAATACGTCAGACTGCTGCCAGTATTGGCGAGATTCTGGGACAGGGTTTTGTCTTTATACGTTTTTGTTGTCATTATTGCTTTCCCGAATTATTTACGATGAACAAGAATACTTTTTAAAATCGGAAAAAAAAGTCCAGCGAATGTTACTTTAGTAAAAGCACCACGTACGGGAGACCCGCGTGCTAGATCGCGGCGCGGCTTCCACGAGCAAGACGGCGGTGTTCTCACGACTGCAGGTGGGGGCCGCGTCACACTTCTTGGCGAGAGGCCCCTCGCAGTCTGTGTGGACAGATCCCCGCCTTCTCCCTGCCTGGGGGGTGCCCCGTCCACCCCCAACTCTAGAACCGTTTCGATGCTGTCTGGCAAGGAATGTTCTCTAGTCCTTATTTAATTTTTTCCATCGCACAGAAGAGGTGTGATGTTCTCAGGGAGCCCTTGGAGCACAGAAAGGCCCGTCGTCGCAGGACACCTCAGCTCCAAAAATCCCGGACCCGTGCGTTTGAGGAGTGGACACCCCTTCTAGGTGCTGCCTGCTTTCTTCCCCATTTGCCCAGCACAGAGATGTGCAAATGTCAACTAACACTGAGCACAAGGACAGACAGTTATTAGCTGTGGTTATTCTGCCACCAATCACTGCTACATTTAACTCATCCCACCAACACATTAATTGGCTTCGCTTCGCAGCATTTGCTGGCCGACTGCCAGCTGTCCCCGGGACCGTGCATGAGCCCACCGAACGACCTCATCCTCGGTTGCCCAAAGTCCATCTGGCAACACTCTGAGCGAGTGTTTTCCTGGCAAACCAACTTCCAAACCCCCGTGGTACAAAACAGGAGCTTGCACCTCCTCTTTTTAACATCGACTCGATTCAGCTTTAGACAAACTGATGCCGGATTTCACAGGAAGGCGAATCAGTTCCCCTCTCCTGAGGACATGGGTTTCCCATCGTGAACCTGAGAATCTGCAAGGGGCGGCCGCACCTGTCGGCTGTTTGCTGCCAGAAAGAGCAGCTGGCAGCCGCGCTGCTAAAACTGAGTTCATTCTTTTTGGCAGACGCGCTTCTACATCCGATCAGTTGATAAAAAACAGCTCCATCGGCTGGATGGATCCATTCGACTACCTTCCGGGGGATACACTGGGGCCACCGGGGAAGCAGCCCTGCTCAGATCCACCAGCAATCCTGTAGGACCTGCCAGCGGCCCAGCCACTGCTGGCTGACACATGCCCGGACACTGGCTCAGCCCAACATGTGTCCAGCAGCTGTAGCTCAGTACTCTGGGCCACCCTGCAATTCCCTTCCACACGGAGAGGCGGAACAGAGCCAGCCCTCAACCCAGGCAAAAACACTGGTCAAGAGCGTCCTGTTTATAACATGCTTATAACACATCCGCTACTCGTGCATCTCGTATTTCCACGGCTTGGGAAGTTCCTTTCGAACCAATAACCCAGAGCATCTGTAATTTGGGCACCTGCCAGAAAGTTCAGCCTTGACTAGGTGAACAGCTGACGTTGAGGGAGGGGAGACCCTCTCTGACAGGGAGCGCCTTGGGGACACACTCGTCACAGACTCGGTACAACTCACCTCCTTCAAAGCCTGCAGCTTCTCCCAGAAAAACTTTGACTGAATCCCATCCCCAGCTAGGGTGACCAAGCACCCCGCTGGCCCAGGACCCAGGGGTTTCCTGGGAGTTTCAGGGCTAAGTCTGGACAACGTCCTGGGCAAACTGAGGCCAGTTGGTCCTCTATTCCCAGCCTCCGGGACCGAGAACTGATGACCCATTGTGCAGGGACATTGTGAAGCGTAAGCGAACAGACAGAGGTGAAGGGGCTCTGTAAGAAGGTTGTTATCTCAACGAAGCTCCTTCTTGTATTTTGGGATTTTTGTTTTGTTTTGGTTTTTAGAGACAAGATCTTGCTCTGGGCCAGGCGCGGTGGCTCACGCCTGTAATCCTAGCTCTCTGGGAGGCCGAGGCGGGCGGATTGTTTGAGCTCAGGAGTTCGAAACC